CTTGGGGTTGTAGCCCTCAAAGGTGCTCTGTCACTCTCTCCTTATGGCATTTAGGGTTTTCCCCCACTGTCCTTACTCCCTTACCTGGCTTCACTGTTCCCTATATATTTGCTCGAGGTCTTGTTCCCTGATGGTTATAGATTTTCTTTTCCTTTCCTTCCTCTGCTGAGATAGTGCTGGAGTGTAGCAGAATGCCCCTCCCTTTACTGGGAAAGATTTCAGAATTGCCCTCTGGACAAATCCCTTTCTTCTGGAGACTGAGCTTTTGTTACGGAAAACATCTGGAGCAATTTCTCTTCCCTTCACACTGCCAAGGTCATAGGGGATCTTTCCCAGAGTACTTTCTCACCAAGAGTACTCTGTGCTTTCTGAAAGGGAAAGCCCACAGTGTGAAGGACTTTACAAGGCTAGGCTTCCCAGGAATTTCTTACTCTTATTCTAATCTGCCTTGAGCCTCCAGCAGTTCATCAAAGTTGCTATTTAAATTTTCCTCAGATTTAATGTAATCCCAATCAAAATACCAATAGTACTCCTCACCAAACTAGAGAAAACAATCCTGAAACCCATATGGAACCAGAAGAGACCTAGAAGTGCAAAAACGATACTGGCAACAAGAGTGAAGCAGAAAGCATTACAATCTTGGACTTCAATTTATACCACAAAGCTACAATGATTTAAAAAAACACACCATAGTATTGGTAGAAAAACAGACATATGAACAGAACAGTTTGTAGATATAACTCCAGGAACATTCTTCTATCTGATCTCTGACAAAGGGGCCAAAAACAAACACTTGAGGAAGGACAGCCTCTTTTACAAATAGTCTTAGGAAAACTGGCTACCCACTTGCAGAGGACTGAATATACACCCATATCTCACACCATGTATGAAACTAAAATCAAAATGGATCAAAGATCTAAATGTTAAAAACAGTCTGCAGGAAGATAAAATAGGTAAAACTCTGAAAGATAGCCAGACTTTCTGAACAAAATCAAAATTTCACAACAAACAGCACCAAGATTCAACAAATGGGATTATATCAAAATAAAAAGTTTCTGCACAGCAAAGAAAATAACCAAAAGGGTGAAGAGACAACCTACAGAATGGGAAAAAGAACATTGGCTAGCTATTCTTTAACAGATGACTAATATCTAGAATACACAAAGAACTCAAAAAAAGTTTGACCTCCCCCAATAAAAGACCCAATCAAAAAATGGGCAGCTTAAATTAATAGACACATTTTAGATAAGGTACAAATGGCCAATAAATACATTAAAAAACTCTTCAACATCACTGATCATTAAAGTAATGCAAATTAAAACAACACTGAGATTCTACCTTACTCCAGAAAGAATGGCTATCATAAAGAAATCAAATAATAACAATGCTGGCAAGCTTCTGGGAAAAAGGAACACCCTTCTATATTGTTGGTAGAAATTTAAAATGGTATAGCCATCATGGAAATCAGTATAGAGATTCCTGAAAAAACCGAAACTAGAAATTCCATTTGACCAGCTATTCCCTTCTAGGTATCTTCCTGAAAAAGTTAAATGCATCATATTACAGAGACACATGGCTACCTATCATTACAGTAGCACAATTCATCATAATAGATAAATCTTGGAAGCAGCATATATGTCCATGAACACATTAATGGAAAAAGAAAATGTGCCATTTATATACAATGGAGCAGTACTCCGCCATAAAGAAGAATAAACAAGGGGAAGTTGGAGGGGTAGGGGTAAGGAAAGAGGGGAATGGAATTAATATGAGAAGATGAAAGAACGGAAACAAAGTCTTTGTAAGTAGGGAAGGGTGGAAGGGCTGAAGTGAGGGCAAGGGAATGGGGAAAAAATAAGAATCAAGATATATTATGTAAAGGTACAAATCTCCAATGATGAATGTCATTATATTGTATACCTAAAATGTACCAATAAAATTAATTTTAATAAAAAGAATAAACATGAGCAGTTTGTAGGAGAATGGATGCACGCTGAGACCAAGACACTAAGTAAAATAAATCAGAAACACAAGCTTAAATATTGCATGGTTTCTCTTATATGAGAAATCCAAAGTATAAATACAGAGCAAAATGAAGACAGATAATAGAAAAAATGGGCTAGATCTTTTGCAAAAGGGAAGGAGACCAAGACACGGAGGGAGGGGTAGGGATAGGAGAAAGGGAATGAAAAAGAATTAAGATATTTTATGTATATGTACCAACTCCCCACAGGGAATGTTATCATTATGTAATGATGTACCAATAAAAATAAAAAACTTTGAAATGTTCTTTTGAGTTAACAGAGCTGTGCCAAATAAGCAGTTCTTCATGTGCTGTCTCTGAGTGAGCCTGTCTCCACAGTCTCGGTGACAGATTAACCCAGGACCTCAGTTCCCTGAGGCATACAACAAAGGTCATCAATTTTTAATTTTTTTGAGGTTTCTCCTGTTTTCAGAATGTGAGTTGTGACTTCAAAGCTCTTTGCATATTGGAGATCAGAGTGAAGGTCTCATCTCTTCTTACCTGTGAGAATGTTAGCAAGTTACTAAATCTTCATTCATATTACTTTTTAAATCCGATAAAATGAGTATAAAATGACTAGCTCTATGAAGTCGCCAAGAGACGATAACCGATAAAGTCATCTAAAACAAAGCCTGGCGTGAAATAGTGACTCGGTCAGTGCTACCCCTATCCCCTTTAATGCCATGTAATTAACGTGACTCAATTAAAAGAAATGAATTACTGATTTACCAACTTGACTTTGAGTAATATAAATATGGCACATGTTTATATTTAAATGGATTTTATTTTATAATAAGGTGTCAACTAACCATAGCTAAACAAAACAGAATAATCCAGTGAACTGCTCTCTCCAGCAATGTGGACAACCTAGTCAATGCGATATGCATGTTTTAGTTACCTAGGGCTGCCACAAAAGTTACTCCAAACTTGATGGCTTGACTGAATAGCAATATACTCCCTCACAGTTCTAGAGGCCAGAAGTCTGAAATCAAGGTGTTAACAGAGCCAGGCTTCTTCCAAGGCTCTGAAAAAATCCTTTCTGGCCACTTCCAGCCTCTACAGATTGAAATTTTCTCTGTCGGCTGCATAACTCCAAACTCTGCCTCTGCCTTCAAATGGTCTTCACTGTTTATTTTCCTTTCTTATCTTTTACCCTAATAAAATTTATTGCTCACCCATATAATTTAGTATGATTTCCCTGAAATCCTTAATTTAATTCTGTCTGTAAAGACCTTTTTTTCCCAAATAAGATCAAATTAACCAGTCCTGGGGTTTAAGGTGTGGACATTTAGGGGAGAGGGTAACTTAAAACCCTCTAAAATAAATGAGCTAAACCAATCTCAGTTTTATCAAAGAATTAATCTTAAAGTTCCACATAAAGTTCTAGATTGACCTCCAAGAAGAGGGAGAAGTGTTTTAATTCTTTGACCAATATACTAGATTCCATGATACAGCTATCAGAGGTGGAGACTCAAGCACACTTGATCAACTGTATCAGTTTTTCTCTCAAGTAGATCACAGTATTTTTTTCAAGGAGGCAATTTTGGATTGAATAGACAGGAATCAATATGCTTCTTTCGCTGTAAATGGGAAATTAACACAAGTGTAATCCAGTTAATGTCTACAGTTCAATTACAAATGCTGACAGAAAGACTCACAGTATTAGTAGAACTTCTTATTAGGGCTGTCAACATCACAGTACTGCCTCATCATCTTATTCTCTTTTTGAAATTTCAATCTCTAGAACCAAGGAAGTTCTATTTTGCATGCATCAGTAGCAATGAGCAATTTACACTTAGCTATCCTCTGTAACAGGACACCAGCTGTTCAGGAGTTCTCATTCTACTGCGATAAGCAGATTTGCTGTTTTACTCATGACTGGTTCAGTGCACACACCAGGGCAAGTGAAGGACTGGGTACAGAGGACAGCCAAGAGACAATAACAGTCTATTTCTAAATAAACAAAAAAGGTTATTTCAAAATTCAGCTTACTGTTTTCATTTCCAAGGTCTATAATTCATTTTTAAAGTGTGTGGATAGTCTCTTGGACATAATGGTTTGGCTTCACTTATGAGCATATGTGTAGCATCTAAGAAACAAGCACACTTTCAACTGGTGCACACCTATGGCTTGTTTTAGAGTGCCAGAAAGATGGACTCACAAACACTTATTCTGTTTCAGAGTAAGAACCAGCTGTTCCCTGACTCAGTGACATGTGGACACGTTTAGATTCTCTATCCGTAATTTTTAAACCTATATGGAGAAAAAAAGAATTAGGAGGGTGGACTGCTAACTAAGTCCTGGTTATTTTTATTTGCTATTCAAATTCTGTGTGAAAACATTCCTAATGGGTATGATGATATTTCATTTTTGTTCTTTATGAGACCTATTTAATTACTTTCCATTACCAAATAAACACTAATTGCTTAGTAGCCCACTTTGATAACCTTAGATTACTTTTCAATACATGAGCATATTATCTGCTCACATAAATGGTGGGGATAATGGTTGGAGGTGGGTGACAGTCAGCAATGAGGACAGTAGCTGGGTGCCAGGGGCTACTCTCTGATCACTGCACATTGTGCTGAGCTGCAGGCAGCAGGCTTCAATGCAGAATAGGGAACTAGGATAATAAATTTGCTTCCATTGATTGAGACCTGATTATACGCAAGGCTTTAGATATTAAAGACCTCCTTATCTAAACAACAGCCTACAAGGTGGGTATTTTCAATCTCAGATCACTTATGCTCAGGGTGAGGCTTAAACTGTTAAGTAACTCACTGGTAGGCTCCTGAAGTAGGTTTATTTGACTCCTAACACCATGCTTTTAGTAAAGGCAAAATTTTGAGACATCCTAAATTTAATTACAAAGTCAAGAAGGCAGAGTGGGGGAGAGACAAAGGAAGTTAATTAACAACTAATGGCTGAAACCAACAAGAGCACATTCCACATTCACACATGTATGTCAAAATCCTGACAAACTTCCAGGCAGGCCCATCGCCAAGTGCAACAGTGTCCTCCAGTTCATGTATAAACCTTCCGTACTACCTACCCCAACCAACCCAGAAGTAACAAGTACCTCCTCTCCATAAAGGACTGTCCTGCTCTGCACTGTCCCATGCATCTTACCTACAGCCAATGTTTCAATGTAAGTAATTTATGCTTTAATTCCTCACAGTTTTGTTTTAAGAGTGCTCTTAGCTCCAGCATATTTCTAGATGCTCTCTATCCCTGTTGCTGGTAGTGAGAAGAACTTGTTCTGGTCCTTTTCTGGCTAACCCTGCATTGGCTCAGTGAGACCTTTCAGTTGAAAAAAGTTTTGGTCTCAAGAATTTTGACTTAGTACCGTAAAACATGGACGTAATGTGAATCATAAATGATAACTAATACTTTTTGAGCACTTATGGCATTATTTTTATCCATTTACATAGTTTTACTCATTTAAACATTATAACAACATATAACATTATAAGACTTACACAGAACGTTACATGTTGAGCAACATAGCCTTAATAATTTTTTCAGCTTGATTAAACTTGGAGAAAGTAATTCCCTGACTCTAGATCTAGAACCTCCCTTCTTAAGAGAATTTACTTTTGAAAACTTATAATTGTAAATTCTGTCTCTACTCCTCTGAATTGTAACATTTTAAAAAACTTCTTGTTAATTTAGTAGCCCACAACTGTCTTTTTCAAGAAGCTGAGAGCCATCCTTTTGAGAAGTAATTATCAATAAAGTTAGTGTCTCCCAGTTTCTAAGGGAGGGTACATACATGCCTAACTTGATCCAAACTGTAATCCAGTCACAAAGATATGAAAAAATTCATTTTCCTTTCAGGTAAGGCCAATTGGCATGTTCTGTGATACCTGCCACCTCAGATCTTAAAAACTTTCCCACTTTTTGTTTTAGTAAACTTGAGTTCTGACTACATTCTACTTTCTGTCTCTTATTGCCAGAACTGTCTCTTAGGGCCAGAACTAAGGTCCTGGCTGTATCTTTATGATTCAAAGGGAAATTGTACACATGCTCACGGGACCATGGGGAGGCAGGTGAACCTTAGTACCTTCACATAATAGGAACAGGTACTCAAAACCTGAAAGCTGTGATTATGGGGAGGAAAAAGGAAATATGACTCATGTCAAGTAGATCTGACTGGATCCAGGTAGTAGCTCTTGGTAATCCAGAAACCCTAGGAAATGACAGTAACAGTGTGTGGGGCTTATACTTACTCTCTTTCCCGGTGGCTGCATGGGCTACAATACCCTCACTGTACACACTGCTGTAGACCCATTTTCATCTATCAAACAGAAACCATAAAAGGTCTTTGAAGGATGGTGGGATAGTATGACAGTGACATTTCTGAATAATATTCTATTACTGTTAAAGGCAAGGAAAAAATGTGAAGTGACCATTGGAAAAACAATAAAGTCAATTCTAAATATGAGACTGCATTGTACAGCAGAAAGTTTAGGTTTCTTATAGAATATAACGTGAATACAGAAAACAAAGGATATTGTGGAGAAAGATGTGTATCAATGCTCAAAAAGTCCTTGAAGCTCATATATTTGAAATGCCTATGCATAATTTTAACTGGACATATTTAGGTCTGTTTTGTATTGTGCTCATATAAGAAAGGCAAATGCCATATTCTCACCCCTCTATCAAGGACTAGAGTAAGTCAGAGACTGTTGATTGAAAATTAAAATGCTAATTGCTACCCATTTTAATTTTTGATAAATTCCTATAGCGAGATACTGATTTTAGAAGCTTTCAAGTACTACAATAGCTTTCATTTTAGTGAGTCCCTTGGAGTTTGTCCCTGAGGTCAATTGCATTCTGCTTCTATTATCAGAAAATCTAAAATGGTATCTGGAAGAATAAATACCACCCATTGGTAGAGAAAACAAATTTGAACTTATAGCTGAGTTGTTTTTTTTTTTTCTTTTTGGCACCGGGGATCGAACTTGGGTCCTTCTGCTTGCGAGGCAGGTGGTGGCACCACTGAGCTAAATCCCCAGGCCAAATTTGAACTTATAGAAGGCAAAGTTTCAAGTCATATAACATGTTCTCAAAAGCAAACAAGAAATTGAGGATATTAGCTGTGTTGGATTTCAGTTACTGTAATAAAATACCTGGAACAATTTATTTTGGATCACAGTTATGGAGATTCTAGTCCATGGTCATTGGGCCCCCTTGCTGTTTTGGGCTGTAACAAGGTAGCACATTTTGGTGGGCGTATATGGTGGAAGAAACTGCTCCCCTCAAGAAGTCAGAAAGCAAGACAGACAGGAAGGAGCCAGGGTCCCTATATTCCCTTGCAGGGTACAACCCCAGTGACTGGACTTCTCCTCCCAAGGTCCCGCCTCCTAAAGGTTCTAGCACCTCCCACTAGTACTGCAAGCTAGAGACCAAGTCTTCAACCTTTGGGGAGCACTTGTCCAAACCATAGCACTTGTTTTTACAAAAGTTAAAATACATGATGTTGTTGATAATCCAGCAGTTAGTAGTAGTAGTAGTAGTAGTGGTAGTAGTAGTAGTAGTAGTAGGTAGTAGCTGTAGTAGCAGCAATAGTACCAGGAACAGTAGTAATGGTAGTAATCAGATAGTGCTATCTAAGCTTTTTTGTATTATTACATATATGCAGCATTTTAATCTCACAATGATGCTTTAGAAGTTTAAATGCTATCATTACCTCAGTCTATAGCCAAGGAAAAGTAAAACAAAGACAAGTTCAGTCACTTGTCCAAGGTTACATGGCCAGAAAGCTAAGATATGAAGCAAGCTTATGACCCCAGATTCATGCTGAACTAGCTGAAGTGCTGAGTGCCCTGCTAAAAGCCATCAGAAGCAAACTGGAGGAGGGAAGACTGTCTTTGTCCTCTATTTATGCTTGGAGAACCAGAGAGATGAAGCACACTCCAAAACGGGAAATTCTACAAGGTTGTCTTTTAATGAGGATACTACATTTCATGATAAGAACATGTCTACCGCTGGAATCATTTCCAAAGAATTCACTTACTTAATAAAGCTATCAGAGGTGAAAGCAGAATCCAAATGCTCAGATAGCTACCAGCTAACTCACAAAATCAATATGTTTTAAATATGATTGATAGTGCACTAAACTTTCAGGAAGTGAGGGCAGGCTGGTGCTTAAACTGAATTATAGTGGGATGACATACCTCTCAAATGAAATACAGTCTAAATTCTTTATGCTATCTGTGTAGCATATAGTAAAAATACCACAAGGTAATGTAGGTACCCATCCTAAATGTAGTGGTACTATATGTATATTGTCAACTTATCTCTTAAATATATTATTTAACTACTCCATTGCACTCAGAACAATTTCTAAATAATTCACTGAACAATCATTTGTTTATTGTCTACTTCCACCATTTGAATATAGCACTGGAAGGACAGGAACTATATGCTTCTCCTATTATATTTTGTTTATCCAGTATCCAGCAGAGTACCTAACACAGAGAGTACTTGATAATATTATTTATTGACTGAATAAATATAAGGCAGTTTTCTACACAACAGAGAATTCTTAATTTATTCTACTAATTTGTATTGAGCTCCCTTTGTCAGACCCTGCTCTGGTCACTAGAATGTTAAGAGTGAACCAGACAGGCAAGGTCATACTCTGGTGGCACTTATATTACAGTAAAATAGATAGACACCTGTGACCTATGCATAAATAATATTGCAGATATTGTTAAGTACTTTGAAGGAAATCAAAAGCATCTGGTGAATGCAATATTAAATTGAGTGGACTTAGAAGACCTTCCTTCGATCCTAAGAAGACATTTACTAATGCATAATGGGAAAACCATCTGTGGAATTAAGAAATGGTAAGTGCAAAGATCTGGAGGCAAGAATGAGCTGTCCTGTTTGAACAAAAAAGATCCATGTGTATTGTAGTAGAGGTGAGGGAGAATGGAGAAGAAACTTAAAAGTGAGTGAGGACCTTGCATTTTAGACCAGCATAAGGAAATTATTTTTACTCTAACCACAGGAGGAAGCTGGTGAGTGATCTTAAATAAAAGAGAAACATTTGACTGCATTTTAAAAGACTGCTTCGCTTGCTACGTGGAGAATGTCTTAAGGAGAAGAATGGAAGTCACAGGTCCCATAAAAGTGATGTAGTATAGTGTAGAAATGATGTGGTGATGACAGAGATGAGAATGCTCTAGGTTTTGGTATTCTTTTAGTGACAGAATCAATGGAACTTACTGATGATGGGGACAAAGGAAAAGAGAGACAGATAAAGGAGACTCTAGGTTTGGGTTTGCAGAGCTGAGAGATAGAGCCATTTTTACTGAGATGTAATATGGAGGAGAAAAAGGATGGCAGGATGGGAATAAAGAACTGGGCTTTGCTGAGCTTTGTTAAACTTAAATTTAAGACATGTTTAATGTCCAACTATTTCAGGTATCTAGGAGAATACAGAAATTTTGACATGATCAACATACAGAAGGCACTTGAGGCTGTGTGTGCCCATTAATCTTCACTGTCCACTTGACTGGATTAAGAGTCTACTGGGTTAACTTACTGAGTTCATAGCTAAATAGGCTATTAGAGGTGGGGCTCATTAGAAGAAATAGGTCATAAAGGAGGCATGCCCTTGGGGACTATATCTTGTCCCTGGCTCCTTTCTCCTAGGGTTTTTCTAACCTGCTCTGCTACCTAGCTGTCATGAACTGAGCAGTTTTCCTCCTCCACACCTTCTCTCCATGGGTTTCTACCTTGGAGCCAGCCAACGATGGACTGAAAAACTCTGAAACCATGAGCCAAAATAAACCTCTTCTTCCCTAAGTCATCTGTGCCAAGTATTTTGCCCTAATGGTAGAAAGCTAGGAAATGACAGAGATACATAACTTATTAATTTAGTGCAAACCTATACTAGTTGGCTGATTTTCAACATAGATGAGAGAAAATGGCTTTCTGAGGGATGCTACAGAAGGAAACATATCATTTGTAAGCCTGGCTACTGGGAATGGGCCATGTTATATGCATGGCACCAGAAGTGGTAGATGAAGATAGCATAGAATCATGGATCCAGCTTTCTCTCCATTTCAATACCTGCATGTTATGGTTAATAAATTTTGCCATGGGACTCCACCACAGACAGTTCTGATGATGTTG